GGGTGACGATGGTCATCGACTTGTTTAGGGGTTGGGTGATTCGAGGGAAGTTGTTAGTTGTGTTAGTAGGGTTATGGGGATGTTGGGGAGTGAGATCGAGTACTACGTTACGAACACAGGAAAAATATTAACGAGTAGCATGATTATTACAATTTAAGAGAATTCGTTAGAGAGCGACTAGAACCATCCTTAACACGAGTGAGATACCGCCCTGGGGAGCACTGGTTTACGCACCGAAAACTCTCAAAACGTACATGCAGGTGTGTATATGCCCATAGTTCCTCTGTATTCGCATATGAATAGAATGAACATCTTCAGTGTTAGCCTACAAGAGGACAAACATGTACAGAATTGCAGAAACAAAACATACCGTGAGGTTACATAATTGAGCTGGGGAGTCACGAGGAGAGTAAACGCAATTGGCAGCCAAATCGAACGAATTAATAGAGTTGCAGTCTCTTGNGGAGAGTAAACGCAATTGGCAGCCAAATCGAACGAATTAATAGAGTTGCAGTCTCTTGTACATGTCTGGAACAAACAATTTAATTCGAATTATGGTAGAGACTTACCCAAATTTGATAATTCTTAGGAGCGCTGATAGGAACAAGATCTTTCCAGTCTTCGTGCTCATACATAACTGACTTGAGATTCCCCTTCTTAGCAAGTTGAACACCATACTCTCCGGTATTTCCGTCGAAGCAGAAGGCATCACCTGAGTTAAGAGTAACACGATCCTGAATTTCAAACATAATGAAGAATCTTGAAACGGTATCAGTACCATAATAGGCCAGTCCAAAAATGATTGACGGTAGACATAATTAGATAAGCGATCGAGATAGTACTTAGAGGTGAAAATGCTTGAAGAGAGTTGGGGAATATTTTTGGCTCCAGACTTTCTGTCCGCAAGATTGACGCCGTGGTATTGTGGTGGGCTTTTGCTAGAGATCGATTGATTGTTCACCAGTTCCTCCATGCGGGACAAATCTTTTTCTATATTGGAGAAATTGTTTTCTATATTGGAGAAATGTTTTTCAACGTCGGAAAAATTTTTTTCCATCTTGGAAAGCATTTCGTTTTGGGCACGGGAAATCTGGAAGGCAGACATGAAACTTAAATTTGTAAGAAT